TATGTTGGAAATTCTAAAGCTTACATCCGAAACAGTTTTCGTTCCTTTAACTATTGGCGGAGGTATTAGAGATGTCATCGACCCAAACGGTAAACATTACACCGCGCTTGAAGTGGCCGGCGAATATTTCAGATCTGGTGCAGATAAAGTCTCGATTGGTAGTGATGCCGTATATGCCGTGGAAAAATATTTATCCAACAATTCAAAATTATCCGGCGACACTGCCATTGAAACTATTGCCCATGCTTACGGATCTCAAGCGGTTGTCATTTCCGTCGACCCAAGGCGCGTTTATGTCAAATCTCCAAACGATGCACCTGGACATCACGTGATAAACACGAAATATCCAGGTCCGAACGGTTCGTAGACAATACAATATTATCAATTAAAAATCTATAGTTTGTTATTCATCTTACACTAATTGTGATTTTTAACAATAGTAAGTATTTTATATTATTTGACAAAGAATGTGGAATTATCATTATTACATCATTTTTGATGATTCAAATTATAAATAAGTCCCATTTTCATATGTTTGAGCAAAGATAATGTTAAAACACCGAGGATCACAATAGATTTGAAAATCATAAGAGATCTCACTCGAAACATTGAGAAGGCAACAATCAAGATATCAGGCATCAGAATAACAGATGTAAACAGGTTGTATTCTGTAGCGGATGTGGAAAGGATCTTTGGAAATCAAGAAAAGATCTATTACGCAAGAGTTAGCTCAGAAAACAGAAAAAGGATCTTGACAGGCAATGTGAGTATCTCAGACAGAATGAATTCCCAGACCACGAACTCATCGTGAACATTGGGTTAGGTCTCGACTGGAAACGCAAAGGTTTTATATCCATTTTGGAACGATCGTACCGAGGAGATCGAACGTTATCATCTCTTTGGCAAGACACAATGGACTCAATCAGCCGAGAACTGAAAACGACAAAGAGAGATTTGAAATGCTGGGTAAAAGAGACCCCTAGGGGAATCACGTTTGTACGCGATTCGATAATTGATGGGCGCATACAAAACAAACAAGAAGTTGCGTGGAAATAATTTCGAATGAAGTGCTGATCGAAGAAGGATCAAACACGAACCATCTCGATCCTTGCTAGGGATTAGAATAGGGATAGAGGGAAATACGCGTTCCTATAAAATATTATCACCTCAGAACGATCACCTGATATCAATAATACAGCTAACACAATGGGAATTTTTACTTGTCTCTTTGGATATAATCAATAACCAAGATGATGTTCAGGGAAAGATAATTACATTTGATCCAGGTGTTCGCACGTTTATGACCGGTTACGACCCTGACAGTCAATTAATCGAGTGGGGTAACGGTGATTTTATAATTATCCAATAAATACGACAAATTACAGAGCAACAAAGATCTTGCTTTTGGAAGACAAACACGAAAAGAGATTTCGATTAAGAAAAAGATGCACGAATGTTACAACGAATCTGTAATTTGATCGATAAGTTGGCCCGTTGGTTATGTCAGAATAACGAGATCAATATTTTGCCCAAGTTCGAATCTTCGAATATGGTTTTGAAGAACAAACGAAAGATTCGGTCAAAGATTGCTCGTTTCGATGCTACCTGGTCGCATTTCAGATTTCGAATGTTACTTTACACAGGATAAGAGAGTACAAGTACTGCAAAGTCCTTGAGTGCACCGAGGAATATACTTAAAAGACGTGTAGGCATTGCGGCGAATTAAGACTTTTCAATGTGATTCGTGTGAGGTTGAGATGTATTGGGACGCGAATGATGCCAGAAATATCTTGCTCAAACATTTGACGGGTGGTCAGGTTTTTTTGACCTGACTTTGGGACTTGAACCTATTTGGGATACGATATGCATAGTAAGGACTAACTTTATTTATTTATTCATATTGGATTCAATTTCAAGGGTGAATCCTGGTGCTGGTATCAATGTACCGTGAAAGGTGGTCGAGAAGGGAGGGACATTGACGTCCATCAATTGGTAACCGCATGTGAAGCTATGGGTGCCGGCGAAATACTCCTTAATTGTATGGATAAAGATGGTACAAATTCTGGATACGATCTTGAATTGATACAGGATGTTAAAATGGCAGTCAAGATACCAGTTATTGCCTCAAGTGGAGCTGGTAAGTTAGAGCATTTTTCCGAAGTATTTTCTGAAACTAAAGTTGAAGCTGCTCTTGCGGCCGGTATATTTCATCGGCGTGAAGTACCCATTCAAAGTGTTAAAAGCTATTTAAAAGAAAAAAATTTCTTGGTCCGAAATGACTATTCAAATTTATAAATTGTGATTGTGATATGTGGAGGGAAAAATGCCAAGCTAAGAGAGAAATTTACTACACAGAAAGACATGTACTACCTTAATTCGCGTAATTAAAAAAAAAAATCCAATTCGTTTTTCGAAGATCACACCATTGCATGTAATTTCTAAGAATGCGTCTAAAAAATTTATCATTACACGCGTCACGTAATCTGGGCGGTAACACGCGTTTCGACGCGAAATCAATTATTATAGTTGATTCAACTTCGTACTACCATGATAGAATTAATTTTATTTTTTTATTTTCCAATTAATAGAGAAATTAAATAAATTAAATCTATGAAATTACTATTATAATAATTTCCTAAATTATCTATTCATTGAAAAACTTGATTTACAAATTTTGTTAAATAGAAAATTTAAATTATGACCTTACGACACATGGTTAAGATTTCTACCTTGAAATCAATTCTTTGGTGACACCTATATTAACAATGTTTCACGAGTGATAATGGGGAAAGTCACATTGATGACTAATCAGGAATAACTCCGGCCAAAAAAAAATTATAATTTGATGACCAGGATAGCATATCTTCTTGTCTAGAACTATAATGTGCGGTATGACGTCCGTATGATTCATTGTTGAAGAAAATCATTAAAAACGCGTACAAAAATGTCTATCTACTCTCATAATT